AAACCGTTTGTCTAACGAAAAAAAGTCAAGAGGTTCTTCTTGTTAGAAAATAATGAGAGATTGAAAAACTGATTTTAATTTTGATAAAAAACAGTGGCGTGCCATTTTTTGATGTAATTAAATTATATTTTGGTCAATATCAACGGTTCATAAAAAGGTAGAATGATGAATTATTTCCATGAAATTATAGAGACATTTATCCTTGTTCAAAACATATGAAAATAAATATACCATTACATCTGTTTTTTTTAACTTGAAAATTTGCTAACATTTCAGTTAACGCCATCTAGCGGCGACAGCAAGAGTCGAAAATTCAAAACCAAATGAGCGTTCTGTAGGGCGAATTATGCTCTTTCATATGAGCCTAAGTTTGCTGAAATCGGTCGTAATAAACGGGAGAAATCTTGGTTTGTTTGAAAAAACAATTGAACTTCCCCCACCACTTCATTTTGATAGATAAAACAAAACGTTCCAGACAAAAAATATAGGAAATGGTAATTCAATATGAATGTGATATCATCGATACACTTCCATCGAACAAAATTCTATAAAAAGTCCCATTTTTCTACTTGGTTTTGGTTGTTACGCCCTCTAGCGTAGGTTTGACAAACTCAAAAATAATTTCCAGCAATCTCTCTCGACGACTTTCATCATGTTCTTTTTTCTCAAATCTATGAGATATGGCCGCTTGCTAACCTTAACTGATCACCCTGTACATGGCTATGAATGAGTTTCGATACTTGTAGTCATGATGCCTATCAGTTTCTTTTCTTATTATCATGGCCTACTACTTTGAGAAATAATTTCACTTTTTTTCGACGCTGTTGAAAGACTTCAATACGTATTTCGAAAACTAAATTTCCAAGTTCAGCGTCCTCCTCACAGTATCTTTCAAGGGCGGAAATAAGCAGTTCACCAGTCACCCTGAGCTTGAAAAAAAAATATGGAAGGAAAAACCAATATCGATCAATCTAAGTTATTTGGAAATCGTCAAATCGTCAAGGAAACTGAAGATTTTTTCCTGAAATTAAGAAGGATTTGAGGATCCTTGTTGCTTTTTCTTTTACGTATTGTATAGTAGAAAGGTCATTCAGTAGCCTTAGGAGAATCAAAACCTGGTTGAGGATTAACATGTCTAAGGCTCGACTCGATGGCCTTGCAATGATGAGTGAACACTGGCAACACATGTTCAGAAACTTGAACGATTCCGTCAACAAAGTTACTAACAATTTCGCAAAGCACTCTTAAAAATTATGTATCATTTGATTCTCCTCATAGATATTTTGTACTTTCTTTAATTTTTGCATTAAAACACTTCTTTTTTCGATTTTTCGCTCCAGTTCTTAGATGGTGCACCCTCAGCTTACTGGCTGGTGACGCCCTCTGTGTCATTAGAGATATTCTTCAGACATTACCAGTGAGAGTGATAATAATTATTCTCATGCCAGCGTGTAGAGAGTTTGGAACCGAAAGACTTTGATGTGATGTGGTTCAAACTAGTCGATACCAAACTGAACAGATTCATTGCTGCCTTCACATATCGCCTAGTGATAATGAATATTACAACCTCTTTGAGTTTTTATCACTCACACTGGACTTCATTCTGGAGAACAAAAACAATCAGCTGAAATCATAATCATGAGAGACTTCAATGTATACAACGCAGCCTGGCTCAGATTCTCTAACAAAACAGATGATGCAGGTCGTCAAACTGAGGCCTTCGCCATCACTCACGGTCTAGAACAACTAGTCGAACTACCAACTCGCATTCCAGATGTCAACAACCATTCTGCCAATACACTAGATCTTCTTCTCACCAGCAATCCTGATCCATATACAGTGTGACACACTCCTAATGGAACCACCCCAGTATCTTATGTAATCGTTGAGTAAGGATCCTGAAATTTGCTGGAGCGAGAGATATACCAAAAATGCACTCTATGACCAAGTGGGGTCATCTTCAGTGATATACATTGCTAGCCAACAGCCATGAAACCACCCCAATTTCCAAAATAGGTTGAAAATCACGTCGGATTCGGAATCAGGACGCCCAAGTTACCAACTATTCAAAGTTTTCCTAGAAGATTTTCAGTTCAGAAAAATTAAATTTTGTCTCACTTCTCATGGAAGAACCCCCGTATCTCACTTAATTATTGAGGTAGGGTTCTGAAATTTGCCGAAGGAAGAGATAGTCCAAAGATAGAGTCAATTACGTGAAATACGTGGGTGCTTCCATAAAAAATGCGACAAAATTTTATTTTTACGAACTGAATATTTTCCAAGGAAAATTTGAATAGTTAGTAAATTGGGCGTCCTGATTCCAAATCTGAAGTGAAATTCGACCTATTTTGACGCCTGATATCATTTTCCGGAAATTGGGGTAGTTTCATTGCTGTTGGCGAGCAGTGTATATCACTGAAGATGACCCCACTTGGTCATAGAGTGCATTTTTGGTATATCTCTCGTTCCAGCAAATTTCAGGATCCTTACCCAACGATTACGTAAGATACAAGGGTGGTTCCATTAGAAGTGGGTCACACTGTAGAACAGAAGTTTGTGCCCCACTTGGAAACTTTGACCACACCCTCATCTTCACAACCTGCTCTTTCCATGTACCATCCAGCACCACAATAATTCCTACCCCTACCCGTCTCATGTCGCATTACAATAATCCGGCCGCCTGGGAAGGTCTTCGTATGTTTTTTCAGGAGTGGAAGAGAGTTTGTTTCTCCTCAGCAGATCCAACACGATGTGCTGAGACAATTCCTGAAATCATCATGTTGGGAATGCAAACCTACATACCGAATACTGCAAGGAGAACATCTTTCGATGAGGCATAGTTCAGTAGAAACTGCTCTAGAGCTGCCGCTTCCAAACAGGCAGCATTCCATCGATGGCAGAAAAATCTAGGCCCTGAGACTAGAGCAGAATATGTCGAGGCTAGGGGCATATACAATGAGACAATTCGATCATCAAAGGATGCTCATAATACCAAAATGAGATCAAAACTTGTTGAATGTCCTAACGAATCCTGTTCATTTTGTTCCTTTGCCGAAGCTGTAGCATGAAACTTAATTTTCAGCTCGTTTCCTCATTTGGCCAAGGAAGATGGAACACTAGCCACAACAGCCCAGGAGAAAGCCAACATTTTTGCGCATTCATTTGCTGAAAATTCCACTCTAGATTCATCGGGTGAACAACCTCAAAACATAACGCCAATTGACAGTCATATGCCCGAAATCACCTTTCGCAAACGTACTATAAGGGAGATTTCATTGGGTCTCAACACCAACAAAGCTTGTGGCTTCGACGGAATCCCACCTATATTGTTCTCAAGAAATGTGCACCCGAACTAACACCTGTTTTCTGCAAGTTGTTCAACTACTCTTACAAATTAGGGATATTGCCGTCCAACTCGAAAATTGCAAGAGAACAACCAGTTTCTAAAAAAGACGAAAAGACCCTAACAACTACAGACCGATCCCACTGCTATCTATTATTTCGAAGATCATGGAGAAAGCTATAAACATCTAGCTCATGAAATACCTGTAACATTCAGGTATTATCAACGATAGGCAATATGGCTTCCGTCATCAGAGATCAACTGGTGACCTCGCTTACGTCTCACATATATGGCAGCAATCTATTGAGAAATATGGTAAAACCTCAGCCGTGGCACTTGATATCTCCAAAGCATTCGATCGAGTCTGGCACCACGCACTCCTCGCCAAGCTTCCATCTTATGGCTTGCCTCCCCAGCTATGTTCTCTGATAGCTAGTTCTCTCCCAAACAGGTCTCTCCATGCAGTGATCGACGGAGTTTCATCTGACTCTCTAACCATAAATGCTGGTGTTCCGCAAGGATCAATTCTAGCACCAACACAATTTCTAATCCATATCAACGATTTGTTGGAAGCAACTTCATGTCCAGTACACAGCTTCGCCGATGATAGTACCCTCCATACCGCCTCCTCTTCCACGGCTCCAATACCACTAATACCAGCCAGGCAAATCAGAAACGAACGAGGGAGAAATGTTGACAACATAAATATGGACTTGGCAACAATTCTCGAATAGGAATCCAATAACTTGGTAGATTTCAATGCAAACAAAACACAAAAGCATGCCTTTTCTCTAGAAAAGCCGATCTCACTGTGCCAAACATAACCAAGAACAACTAACCATACCTTTGAAGACATCCATTTCGCTGCTTGGTAGCACTATCAGCAATAACCTTTCTTGGGAAAATCACGTAAGATCTTGCGAAAAGTGCATCCCAGAAAGTTGGTTTTCTGTTTCGGGCCAGGAGCTATTTCACTCTCAGTCAGTTGCTTATGATCTATAATGCACAGATCCGACTTGTCTCATATTTGGAGTGCAGCACCCGAACATACCCTGAAACTGTTGGATTCTGTCCAAAAAAGGGCAATTCGTCTCATGGGTGATGCCTCGCTCACAAACTCACTCACTTCTCTGGAACACCGTAGAAAAGTTGTCAATCTGGCTCCATTTTATAGATATTTTCATAGACCATGCTCTTCTGAAATATCACCAATTGTACTTCCCTCGGCAGTTCCCATAAGATTAACCCGTTGAGTTGAGGCTTCGCACCCCTTCGTGGTCACTTTGGAGACCTGCAGAACATCTCTTTCCAAAGACTCATTCATCCAACGAACAGCAAGGCTTCGGAACACATTGCCAAGGGAGGTATTTCTCTAGGCATATAACCTCCAGGAATTCAAGAAGAACACCAATTCCTACCTTATGTCCCTTGGTTCGTACGATGTTCTCTGAACATTACAGGATATTCTTTTTCGTGGAAACCAGAACATAAAAAAAGGTTCCCGCATTTTTCTAACCTAACATTCTCTTGGCTTATTCGAATTTTAAAAAAATAGAAGTGAAGAAAAGATTTAGGTGATAAATTCTTCTATTGAAGCAATATGAAAATGTTTCTGAATAGATTGTTTCAAAAATGATATTGACTGTATGTGTCTTACCTGAATTAGCTCCTGTGATTATAACAGTTTTTCCCACTAGACATATTTTACTCATACACCATTTACACTTCAAAGTTAGATATAATTTCAATGATACGAACGCGATTGCAAGAAATGATACTGAAATAAGTATAAGAGCCATGAAAGACCTAAGATACACTATTATTGGAGCTATAATAGGTGAATACAAAATACATTCAAACTGAACATAAACATTAGTTTCAGGTAAATTCACCACTGCTGATATATATTATCATTCGTAAATGCGATAACTAGAAACAATTCCAGATAACTTTTGTTATTTGTCGCCTGGTTGATCGAAAATAGAAAAACAATGAGTTGAATACGATGCTCACTGAACTTTCCGATGAATATGTCAGAATGATTCGGAATTGATATAATCACGTATTGTATTGAAATTATAGGTCAAGTTATATGGTCGAATATACAGTCGAATAACATGAACACCACAAAATGATGAATCAAGAAATAAAAAAAACCGAGAGGGCCAAATAAAACAGAAGAGTAAGTAACAGTATGAGTCGCAAATGATACCTATCATCAATAGCACATTGTACTATAGATTCCACTTTGAGGATATACGGGAACATTCATATACAGTATGATGCAAATGTATGGAATAAATTCATTATTTCAGAAATGGGCGACATTTGAAGAAATTCCAAAAACACGTGAGTTTTAATTTTCGAAACCTCATCTCATGACATTCATATGAGAGATGTTACGTCACCGGTGTTGGAGTAATGACGTAATGGACGGTTTTTTTAAATACAAACAGGGGTCATGTGACACCTCGTTTGAAAGGTCTACTGATCTATCCAATAGTCAAAATTTTGCAAAAGGAGATTACATTAAAATGGATTATCATTTGGTTAACTGAATCTTGCAGAGATCTTCTACGGAGAATTGAACATCGAAGGGTCGTCTAGTTGAAAAAATACATCGATAAAAAAGTTCTGAACTCTACTTTTTGGATTTTTTTCGGAAGTCGTCTTGTTTTGAAATGAATTCATTCCATACATTTGCATCATACTGTATATTCAGAGCCGGACTCAGAGATCTGAAGGCACTGGGGCAACAGAAGAGTACACATCAGAGAAGAACATTTCTTCTCGTGGAACAATCTCATTTGTTTCACGCATATTAATTTGAGAGAAACAAATCTTATTCGAGATAAACAAATGATATTCCTTAGAACCAAATCTTATTTTCTATTTGAAATTATCGGAAACAGCATACTTCGTTGAAAATATATTTATATCGAAGTGGTAGATGTTACTTGATGCGAATGAATATTATTCTGAACAAAAATGTCATATTGTTGGCGGAAACAAATATTGATATAAATATTACCGATTGATATATTTGTCATGAACAAAATATTAATTTGTATTAATAAAATGTCTTTTGAGCAGAGTAAATATGTCATTCACCTCGAATAAATGAGGTAGGTCAGTGGTTCTTAACCGGTGGTCCGCGGACCACTGGTGGTCCCAGGAAGCACCCAAAGGGGTCCGCGAAGCCATCGGAAAAATATTGAATTAGTGACAAGCGGACGGATTATCAATTTGAAATACGACTCTCTCAATTGGTAGATCGAACAACTCTATAAATTGAATCTGCAACTGCAAGGGTCAGGAATTTTGAAGTTGCATGACATGTGCAGTATATTTGCATGTGAAGATAAAATTGCTGCATTTATCGCTGAAATCGAACTATGGATCATGACAGTCGAAAAAAAATTTTTTTCTACGTGTGATAAGCTGAATTGAATTATTGAAGGAGAGTGTGCTGAGATCGAGAGAGGCAAATTTGAAGAGTGAATTCGATCGCTATTTTCCTGACTGTGATAACAAAGGTAATCGGAAATTGTCAATGTTTTTGAGCGCCTGATCGAATTGAAGAAGAAGTGATTGGAATGCAAACCGATAGTAACTTGAAAAATGCAGTCGAAGCAGGAATTGATTTTGATGATTTCTAGAGCCGAAAAAGAAATTTGTTTTGCAAATATTTGGGAAATTGCAATTCGATACCTACCTTGGTTTTCATCGACATATCTATGCGAGCAGGGGTTTTATTAGGCACTTCTAATCATTAAAACAAGCACCGAAATCGGTTGGATGCTACTGCCGACATGCGTTTTGATAGGACTGAACCAAGTATTGAGGAGTATAAAAAAATATTAAAAAGATATATTCTGTCTCTGTTATGTTGAATTTTCGCCTAAAGATTCAAATAATGTTGATTGTGAACAGATGCATGTTTCATTCATAGATAGAACAATGATCCATTAATTTTCATTCCATGTGTTCACCTCCAAACAGTCAGTGGTCTATGGCAATTTTGAATATTGTCAAATGGTACCTCAGCACTAAAAGGTTAAGAACCACTGAGGTAGGTGAATACGATATAGGCATGTTTGCAGTATGCAGTTTTCTGTTCACCTTCTGTCAGAGTCGGAGATAGAGTCAGTAGCAAGCGTTATCAAACTGGTGTCGCTGAAAATCATATTTCAAGACGCTGGTATAATATTTCAACGTTAACTTTTTTATCATAGAGATGTAGAGAATAGTGTATACAGTGTGTCCCACTTACCATGCTCACCATGGGTATCTTTAGTGAGAGATACGAGGTCGGTGAAATGACACCAAATGTGGAGTTTGTCAAGGCCAACTATAATGTGAAAAAATATTTCGATAAAATCTATTCGTTTTTGTTTTATACGCAAAAAACAGATTTTGATCATTTTCATGTCCCTTCCTAACTTCTTTATTTATGAAAATATTCAAATAGGAATTTCGCATTCTCATTGCAGTTTTTCAACGTGATTTCGAAAAAAAATATGGAATTTATTCCAACTCTTCTAGGATTCGAGATATCAGCACCAACTTTAGTTTTTCAAATGTAGGTCATAGCTCACTATGACTTAGTTACAAATGACTTCTTTTTCTCTTACAGATGGTATGTCGCAGTGACAGTTTTGTGTTGATAACAACGGAGTTATCGTCATTTATACAAAAACAAAAAATTATTTGGAAGCCGCCATCTTGAATTTATAAATTTGAACAAAAAAATCATGATCTCCGACCTCAAAAACCCCCACTCACCAATTTTGAATTGAATCGGACCAAATCTTGTCCGCCATCAATTAAAAAAAATGGCTGCTCCAAGATGAGGGTTTAGTGGGTCTGCTAGAAGACCAGATCTGGTAGATGAGTCTGAAATAGAATCTCAAGAATTTCCCTGCCAGTTTCAGTATATAACCCGTCAGGTTTCATCATATTGTCACGAAAGGATATTTGACAAATTATTCTCAAATATTACTATTGCAGTTATTATTATTTCACTGTCCTAATTCATCGACTTCATTATATTTTTTGTAAATTCTACTGTTTTCGTTCTTGACGAAACACTCTTCAATAAAAAAAAACATTTGAGGTGATCGGTCATAATCCACGTACCAAGGATCGAGGACTTGACTCTTGGTCCAAATAGCGGACGGTGGCTTGTCGCAATGGGGATGTCGTAATTAATTGGGACATCCCCAAGTTTTGTAGCTCCTTCATTGAATATCAACCCTCAGCAAATCCCAACTAGCAAAGAAAATTAGTCACATTCATGAGAATATTCTCCAAAGGATTCACATATTTCTTATCTAGGATTCGAGGCGTGCTGCTTCTGAGGTTGTTTTCACCATTCCACCTCTCCACAGAAACGCCTCCACCCGTTACCACCGATACAACAAGGCCAGCAGACTCTGACATAAACAGCTCGTGATGCCGCCAAGTGAGGCCAGTGTTTTATTTTATCGCTTGTCGACTAACGCGTCAGTTCGTGTTAATTCATCGGTGATTCACGTATGTTTTTGAAACGGTCCTGAATTCTTCTGTTGTTTATTCATCAAAATAATTGGCGGAAAAATTACTGTTTTGTGAAATATTTTGTGTTGTGATCGGCGAAATAACAATGCCTTTCAAGTGTTGTGTTCCCTTTTGTCGGGGGAATTATGTGGGTGGTTCAAAAGTTCATGCTTTTAGTTTCCCGTTGGACGAGGAGCTATCGAAAATGTGGGTAAGTATATATATGCAATTCACCGCGAGGATTTTACTCCATCTAAGTATCTAAGTTCAGTAGTAAACAGAGCATAATTTATAATGATGAATTAATAATAGAAGACAATTACTCTCTCATAAAAAGTATAAGTAGAGGAAAAATAGAAAAGCTTTGATTGTGCAGTTAGTTTTGTATTCGTATATTATAGTCATCAAAATCATCTCTGAATTCGAGGAAATTTTCTTGAATGTTCATAATAAACGGGTATTTTTAATTCTCATTCTCAAATTTCTTTCTGAAAACGGTCATTTGCCTCGTGGCAATGAATGCAGAATTCATTCGAATGATCAAATTGCAACTATCATATTAACATGAACTACAAACACTCTAATTAAAAAAAGTGAAACTGCATTTATCATGATATATATCATGAAGATATCTGACTGACAAGTTCCAAATTTCACCTTCTTTTTCACCTGTCTTCTGGCGATGGCATTTAGAACAAATTTTCCTTCTTTTTCCATCATATTGAACAATTTTATATATAATTCAACTATAAATATGATTTTCTTGAGATTAATCCATATTTAGTGGAAAGAAGGAAGAATGTCATTCAAAATAATGGCGCGTGTAATGTCATTCGAAAGCAATCTATTGACATTTGACATCTCGTATTTTGATTGACTATTGATTAAATGGTCGTCATCTGGAATGCTTGTTCACTAAATATGAAAAACTCGCCATGAAAATCATATTTCCTGTTGAATTTTCTATATAAAAATGTGCCATCGAAGTACATCATGAGTATATAAAGTGTCCAATGACAAAATAAGAGCAAGTAGCTTCAAATGCCCCCAACACAAGGGGAGAAAGAAGGCGAAATTTCGAAATTTTTCTTGAAATATCTCAATAAATAGTGGTTTGTTCACATTTTCATTATAAAATTCGGTTTATCCTTACAAAAATACGTGAGTACCAAAAAAAAATTTCAAAAAAAAAACCATCGCATGATAAATGCAGTTTTACCCTTAAAAATTACGGTTCCAAGTGTAACGATCCACTTGGGTGAAAAATCCAACAACAGAAAATTGAAAACACTCACTGGTTATTTTTCCACGTAATAGAAATTCTCCAAGAAAAATATAGGTGATTGTAACAAACGGCATGCCAATCAAAATAAAATACATTTTCCACAATTTTCTTTCGATCAATCTCACGATGAGTTTATGTTCTGTGGGCCCTGTATAAGTAGGTGTGAAGTTTACCTTCACCACAATTTTTGCCAATATATTTAATTCGAATGGGTTGCTGTAGGTGGATATTTGTGTTTTAGCCTGGTTTTTGCTTTAAAACTTCGTTTTTCCATAATAAAATCTAATGGGATGCGAAGAAGGGCTCAGTTGACGACTGGCATCCTTTTTTAACCGGAAGCCCTTCAAAAAGCAGCAAAATCGGCTCAATGATGATCTAGAACTAAAATCGAAATACGCGGTCGCCTTAAAGCGCTATAACCGCTTGTCGTTTCGAGCCGCTGGTTAGGCCTGACTGAGTGACGTCAAACACGGAGCATGCAAGCCTTGTTGTATCGGTGGTAACGCTCCACCTGGTTATTTTCGAGAATGGAGAACCAGAGGTTCATAGAGGCGGTGGAGTGATGTTCCTTGTGAATAAATAGTTTTCAGTTCTTCTTAGCTGGATAAGTACGAGTGTGAAAGTCAAGAACTTGAACATATCTCTATTTTGTGTTTACATCTCCCTGAATTCAAGCTTGAATTGCTATAACTCATTTGTAGAGTCTGTGATTAGTATGCATATATCTGTAAATATTTCTACAGAAAACGTTTCTCAGAAATATCTGCTATCATTCCACCACTAGCAAAACCAGTCAGACGAGCTCAACAGGCCTAGTCAGCACATCCTTCCGTTTCAACCTTGGAATATGTCGAATACAACACTCTACCAAATCTTGTTCGTGTATAGAACGACAAAGCTTTGGAATTCTTCGTCAATAGGAGTATTTCTAAGAACTTATAACGTCCAGGAAGTCAGGAAAAATTCCAATACCTACTTCGTCTACCCATCCTTCCTAGGTACGCCACAATATGTTCTTTGAACATCATGGCAATTTCCTTTCGTGCGCTCCAAAAGAAGAAAAAACATGTATTCCATTGGAGATTTCAACTTGCCTGAAATAAACAGCACCTCTTTTGATTTGATAATAGCTCCTCAAAAGCACAAATAAAATGACACAAAACTGAGTTTTAATATTCTCCTGAATAGGAAGCTAACAAGATAATCAAACACGTTCCATTCGCGTTGAAAAATTGGTTTGTCTAGTGGTTTGAAAAGTATAGTGTATTTATCATGACAAATGTTTCAGTCTTCGATATAAAAATGATAGTATTACCTAAGTATATCATCCTTCATCTCTTAGTGAGATCTACACCGTTTTCATTTGTTTTTCAGAATGCATCAATTGTATTTCAGAATAGTCGATTGAATTGCAAAAGCATCAATCGTATTTCAGAATATAGTCCATTAAATTTCAGAGAGTCTAATTTCTATTTCAGAAAATATAATTTGAAATTCAAATGACGTTTTCTCAAATTCACCTGAATATTTTGAAATACGATACACGCTTTCTAAAGGACCCCGCACTAAACTATAAAGAAAATGGATCATGATGAAAATCGCTGAATTTTTGGAATTTCGCAAACTTTTGATGTATTGAACGGATTTCTCATTGAACTAACCTGAAAAAATGGACAGTTCTTCCGATATTGACCTCTAAATGAAATTTTTTCGAGAGAAAGAAGTATCTGAAAATTTTTTTTTATCGCTCGAAGCGCACGAAAGGGAATCCCTATAATGTTCAAAGAACATCGTGCGTTCCTAGGGAGGATATAGGGATAGGAGGTAGGTATTGGATTCTATTTTGAACTTCTGGAGATTATATGTTGTTGGGAATACTTCCACAGGCAATGAATTCCAGAGCCTAGCCGTTCTATGGATGAAGGAGTTTTGATAAAGTCCTGTTCGACATCTTTCGAGATTGACAACGAAAGGATGTGCTGACTGGGCTTGTCTAGTTCGCCTGACTGGTATTGCTAGTGAAGGGATGATAGCAGAGATTTCCGAAGAACATTTCCCGTGGAAGTATCGATAGAAAAGTGAAAGGTCGCCGACCTTTCTACGGTGTTCCAATGATGTCAAAGAGTGAGTGAGTGTGGCGTCACCCACCAGGCGGATGGCTCTTCTCTGGATGGAATCTTAGAGCATCAGCGTATGTTTTGGTGCTGAACCCCATATGTGGGAACAGTATTCTAGAACAGGCCGTATCTGCGCTCTGTAGATCATGAGGAGCTGTTGAGGTGTAAAGTAGCTTTTCGCACGGAACAAGAATCCGAGTTTTTGTGAAGCAGCTTTTGCGATGGATCTCACATGATTATCCCATGAAAGAGTGTTGCTGATGGAAATACCGTTATGGGGCATTGAAGAAATCAACGGTTGAATGTTTGGAATGTTGTAGATAGGAATGAACTGATAAAGAAATCCGAATGACCTAACCTCCAAAAATTGACAGTTTTTTCGACAATGACCTCCAAATCTAATTTTTTGAAAGAATAATCTATGGAAATGGCAGGATCAAGTAGGTATGCTGTAGATATGGATGAACTGATGGAAAAATCCTATTGACCTAAACTCAAAAAATTGACAGTTTTACTGCTACTGACTCCTAAATGGTATTCAAACAACTGTATGGAAGTTGACCTTCAGAATGTTATTCTGTACAGGGTGGCCAACTAAGACTCCAGAGTTCGATTTCTCTGTTGTCTTGAGAGATACGAAAAAAATTCATGTATCAAAATTGAAGTAATAACCGAGCTTCACATTTCAGAATTTCTTTGAAATACACAGGGTGTTCCGTAAGGTCAAAGCATATCAAAGCTATGTTTTTTTCATCGGAACACCCTATATTTCATTCCATTTTTGAATTCTCCCTGAAGATCTGATTTCAACGACCTATCATACTTAGGGTCTAGCAGTGAAAGTTACTGACATATAGGGTGTGCAAAATCGAGATTTTCCAAGTTCAGGATTTTTTTCTGTCGCAACTGTTCATTACTCGTCAAAACGGTTAACATGTCCCTATATTAACTTTTCACTCACTATCAATTGGTGTTCAATTGAAATTGATACAAGGTGGTCAAAAAATCAAAATTCATAATTTGTTTCAATTAAATGTCAATTGAACACCAATTGATAGTGAATGAAAAGTTGAGATAGGGACATATAAACCGTTTTGACGAATTATGAACAGTTTCGACAGAAAAAAATCCTGAACTTGGAAAATCTCGATTTTGCACACCCTATATGTCAGTAACTTTCACTGGTAGACCCTAAGTATGATACGTCGTTGAAATCAGATCTTCAGGGAGAATTCAGAAATGGAATAAAATAAAGGGTGTTCCAATGAAAAAAACATAGCTTTGATGTGCTGAGACCTTACGGAACACCCTGTGTATTTCAAAGAAATTTTGAAATGTGGAGCTTCGTTATCACTATGATTTGAATGCAAAACTTTTTTTGTATCTCTCAAGACAACAGAGGTATCGAACTCTGGATTATTAGTTGGCCACCCTGTACAATTTTAAGGTCAGGAGAGTCAGGGAAAAATAATGTTTCATCATCATCGACGTTTCGTCCTTCATTATGGGGCATCCTCAGAAATCTATGAGTAAACCTACTAGAAAAATGAGAATTTGATTATGTTGCAGCTTCGATTTTCAAACACATTTTCCTGGACATCCTCATATAGGTGAGTTGATTTCTGGAGTTTGTCAGGTTTTCATTTTATTTTGATAACTTTCTCATGCATTTGTGTCTGTTTGTCCATCCCACACATTTTTTCAATGTTTCAATGTACCCATTCTGCTTGTAATTGAGGTGTCTTGAATTTTTGATATGTATGTATCAAAATTCATCGCTTTCTGAAAAACGACTGACTATATTCGGAAATAGAATTGATGCTCTCTGAAATTGAATTGACGTTTTCTGAAATACAACTGGAAAATGTGTAGTAATTCAGAAGAGGGATGATGGAAAGTACGAAAAGCATGTTGTCTTCATTAATATTTATTAATACAGAACACATTTATAGTAGCTTGGCAAGATAAACATATCCATGGAATCATTTCGGGCTAATCAGTCCTCAGTTTCTCACAGTGAAATTCCTCGTGGTACCATCGTATGGGAAAACTCCTCCCAGTATGTATTTGTAAAAGCCGAAATGGCTTATTCGATATGTGCCAGGCTCAACGTTTCCGGTCACGTGCCACCTGATCTCAGCTTCGCTTGATCCTTTCACGAAGTCCGTTCTCCTCCATATGAATCTGGAAAATACCGAGATAATGTAAAGCACGATATTTCATTGACCACACTTGTCTCATATTTATCAGGAAGGAAATCAAAGAACTTTTACAGCACACACTTCTGAAACATAAAGCAATTCAACGAAGGGAGAAGATCAGTCATTAATCCAATACTCCATGAAATAACCGGCTATCATAGATGATTAGAGGAAAACAACTACGTTGATGGCTTTATGCCACGCAGAATATTGAATCATATCTCTCGAAATCTATGCATCGATTCATATAGACGGATATAGATGCGAGTGTGTCTTCCCTAAAGGCCGAGTTGTGCTTTAATCGTTCAGGAACGCTGAAATACCTATACATACCGGATCAGAGCTTTTGTCTCCCATCAGTGCAAGGGTGTCTCCAGATGGCATTAGTGACCGTTATCTGGTGCAAACTTGACTCAACGTAAACACCTCTTAGCATATAATACGCACGAGGCGTTCAATCACCGCTAAATGGACACAATAAGCACAACGCCGTCTAGGGCAAAGGAAAAGATACACTCTAAGACTAAAATCAGCATTCGAAATGATGAAGCAATTTCAATTTCACTATAACTTGTATTGCTACAAAACAGTGTGTGATGCTCTGAAATAATAAGTAGGTACCGTAGCGCTGAATGGTATCATATTATTTATGATATTACGACTCAATAAACACTTATACAGGGTATGTCAAAACGAGCTTCAGTCGCAAAAGACTAATGAAAATGTGTATGCAAATATTTGGGATTACGCTCCCTCCGTTTAAACGTTTCTCGACATTGCAGTGTTGCCGCTTTTACTAGGAAGTAGCTACAACTTTGTTATTCCAAATGGATATACCCTGTATTCTCTTGCAATTCAAGATTTTTCCTGAAGGGATGATTTCATCAATGAATCACACTTGGAGTCTAGCAGGAATGATTACAGAGATATAGGTTTTCCAAATTTAGGATTATTTTTTTGTGCGATATTATCCATTATTGGTCATGAAGGCTCACATGTCCCTGTAAGGACTTTTTATTCACAATAAAGTATATAGTGTGTCCAAGATGAGGATGTCTATCATGCATATGGGGCACTCGTAAACCATAAAAGATATACTAAGATGGTTGATCCAGAGAGAAGTTGCGCATTCCTGAAGCTTGAAAATTGATTATTTCCTTTTCTGCTACTTCTCAAACTCCTCAAGACGTTTCGTTGTGGAGAAACCATCATCATCTTTTTCTCATCACTATTTTTGTATATGGCTGGTAAAGAAGTATACCCTATATTGAATCTCTCAACGCTATTTTGTAGAGCTTGGGAAGTGACAATGAGAAACTCTATTTTCGTTCTCTATATCTTCCTAAATGACGTCAGAAGAAATGTAATCGAAATCGGCAAATTCCGTTTTTTTTTTCAGGCATATCTTCGGAACCACTCGGAAATTTCAAACTTTCTGAAGGATACATTGTTATAGACTTGATAATTCGCAACATTTCTCTGATTCAACCAACTTCGTGTCTCTTCTTCACTCACTGGAAAAATAATTGATCCACTCAAAATATTGATAAAATGTTATCAACAATAACTTCGTTAATTCGGGGCCGATTATGTTTGATTTTTTATTTTGTATTTCGTATGCAATTCCATGAGGAATCTCACACGAGGTTGAGATTTCAAGAAATTCAGCATATCTTCAACTTATATAGAGTGCACCAAAAAGTGCATTTTCTGTCCAATTTTGGAACAATCTTTGGAGTGGCTGAGTTGGCATATCATGCAATTTTTCACTCAATTATAAATCTACGTTTGCTACGTACGTTTGATTTTTTTGATTTTTACTATATCTGTTTTTTTGTGGCAGTTACAAGGGTTTCAGGAAAACGTTACATTCGTACATTTTTTCTATGACAATCACAAAGTTTTCCGAGAAATCAAAGCTTGCAAAGCTGGCTGTGACAGACCTGTCAGAATTGAGAATTTGTATGCTCGTGTTTATCATCGGATGGTTGAATAAGATATGGATCTCTCAGCAACCGACTCCTGCGAGAACTATTGTTTTGGTGCAGGAAGGTAGAACACAATATTATGTGGCCAGAGCTTTGATAGTGTCGAGATCTAGAGTGGGAAGAGCTGTGAAACGGTTTAGTGAATTTTGGTGTATTCACAAGAAGATATAATCGTGGTCAAAAAAAAATCTGCGATCGAGATAATCGTTTCATTATGCTCAAAGTTTTGAGGGCAGAATACTCACTTCTCTCCAAATGGAAAACAAATAAGAGGAGGTGAGGCATGTTCAGTGATAAAACAATTAGAAGGAGATTTTTAGATATTGGTTCCGAGCAAGAAAACCTGCAACCGGTCTAGAGTTATTGAGGAATCATCGATTTAAACGCCTCAGATATGCTAGGAAACAAAAATATTGGGGTAATAAACAATGAAGCAATATCCTATCCTCCGACGAGTCGAGGTTTTGTCTCAGAGCACCGGATGGATGTGGAAGAATTCACCTGAGAACTACAGAACGTTTTTTGCAAAACCATTTCCAGCCAAGAGTGAGCTACGGAGGTGGTTCGATGATGGTGTGGAGTGGAAAGAGATTTGAAGCTCAGACGGACTCAGTCATTGTTCAATTTTTCAATTGTTCAATTGTTCAATTGTTCAATTGTTCAATTGTTCAATTGTTCAATTGTTCAATTGTTCAATTGTTCAATTGTTCAATTGTTCAATTGTTCAATTGTTCAATTGTTCGATTGTTCAATTGTTCAATTGTTCAATTGTTCAATTGTTCAATTGTTCAATTGTTCAATTGTTCAATTGTTCAACTGTTCAATTGTTCAATTGTTCAATTGTTCAATTGTTCAATTGTTCAATTGTTCAATTGTTCAATTGTTCAATTGTTCAATTGTTCAATTGTTCAATTGTTCAATTGTTCAATTGTTCAATTGTTCAATTGTTCAATTGTTCAATTGTTCAATTGTTCAATTGTTCAATTGTTCAATTGTTCAATTGTTCAATTATTCAATCCGTCATTTGGTTGCCCCCTTACGAGCAACCCTCAGAAGTCTTCGAGAGTCTTGTGCGAGCAAGGAATGACGGGGGCCTTACCTTTTAACGTGTGATCCCAAACACTCTCTTGGGCCATCAGACAAATTTCTGCAGTGGCGGGGAATCGAACCCACGACCGGCGAGCGAATGCGGATTAGAATATTGACACTCTGTTTGCACGGCTACCTAGCCCTTGTGGAAAGGATATCCATGACAGCCGATAGGTACATAAAGACGTTACAAGAATTGCTAATGAGTATTTAGCAAAAATTTCTAATGAGTATTGAACCCAATTGAACATGTTTGGGATATTCTTGGGAGGAGAGTATATATATTTATTTTTTATCGCTTGGAGCGCACGAAAGGGAATACCTATAATCTTCAAAGAACATCGTGCGTTCGTAGGGAGGATTGGGACAGGAGGTAGGTATTGGAATTTTTTTTTCTAACTCCTGCGAATTCACAGGAACTCAGTGAAGTTTTGATAGAATAATGGCAGCAAATCTATCAGGCGTATTCAAAATCTGCGATAATGGGCATGCCAAGAAGGTTTGCAGCAGTTATGCGTATACGTCTAGCTGTCGCGTTGGACATATCTAAAGCATTCGACCGTGTTTGGCACGAAGGACTCCTCCACAAACTACCATCATACGGCTTACCACCTCAGCTATGCCATCTCTTATCGAGTTTTCTTTCAGGCAGATCGCTTCACGTGGTGGTGGACGGTGTATCGTCTGATACCATTGGCATCAATTCCGGCGTTCCACAAGGATCAATTTTGGCACCAACATTATTCCTGCTTCATATCAATGATCTGTTGGGAGTAACAACTTGCCCTATCCACAGCTTTGCAGATGATAGTACCCTCCATACTGCGTTCTCTTCCAGAATTCCCATTTCTTCCCAGGAAACTAAGAACTCACGGCGCAGGCAGGTCAATGCTGTCAATGAAGATCTTGCTGAAATCACAGCCTGGGGAACAAACAACCTAGTTGAATTCAACGCCACCAAAACTCAAGCCTGCATTTTCTCTAGAAAGGCGGAACTCAGTATGCCCGATATTGTAATGTCTGGCTCCACCATCCCCACCAAGCCCACCATATCTATGCTCGGTATTTTCATCAGCAACACTCTTTCATGGGATAATCATGTCAGATCCATCGCAAAAGCTGCTTCACAAAAACTCGGATTCCTGTTTCGTGCGAAAAGCTACTTTACACCTCAACAGCTTCTCATGATCTACAAAGCGCAGATACGGCCTGTTCTAGAATACTGTTCCCACATATGGGGTTCAGCACCAAAACATACGCTGATGCTCTTAGATTCCATCCAGAGAAGAGCCATTCGCCTGGTGGGTGACGCCACACTCACTCACTCTTTGACATCATTGAAACACCGTAGGAAGGTCGGCGACCTTTCACTTTTCTATCGATACTTCCACGGGAAATGTTCTTCGGAAATCTCTGCTATCATCCCTTCACTAGCAATACCAATCAGACGAACTAGACAAGCCCAGTCAGCACATCCTTTCGTTGTCAACCTCGAAAGATGTCGAACAGCACTTTATCAAGACTCCTTCATCCATAGAACGGCTAGGCTCTGGAATTCATTGCCTGTGGAAGTATTCCCAACAACATATAATCTCCAAAAGTTCAAAAAAAATTCCAATACCTACCTCCTGTTCCTATCCTCCCTAGGAACGCACGATGTTCTTTGAACATTATAGGGATTCCCTTTCGTGCGCTCCAAGCGATAAAAAAAAAATACGTGGGGACAACACGTCGTACTGATTTCATTAGCATCTTTGAATCACTTTTCTGGTTTCATTCGTTATAATCATCTCCTATTCCCAAAGATTATTATCACCATAATGTAGGGTTGTGACGTTTATCCATTTTTCCTGAAACCCTTGTAACTCTTACAAAAAAACAGTTATCGAAACAACTAATGCAATGAAAATCACGTATTGAACGTAGGTAGATGATTGAGAAAGGAAAAACACGATTCACCAGCTTGGCCTCTCCACACATTGTTTTGAAATTGGAGTAAAAATGCACTTTTCGTGACACTTTGTATAATTTGGAGATATGCCTCGTTTCTTGAAATCTCAACCTTGCGTGGAATTTTTTATGAATTTAACTACGGAATGAAACATAAATCAAACAAATCGAACTTGAATTGCCAAATTTTATCATTATTTTGTGTGGATCGATTTTTTTGCCGGTGAGGTTAGTTTCTGAGTTCCTCATGATAGACATCTTTATCTGGAGGAGACATCAAATTGGAACAGATACGGGGTGATCAGAATTTTGAACCTTGAACCACACTGGTAGAACCCTTACGTGCATGCAGAATTTCAGAAACTTGTGTGAGTTTACTAATATATGTCTATTCACTTTTATTTATACCATAAATATATTTTTTCTGTAAACGTCAAAACATGACAAGGTTCACGCATCGATAACAAATTATGAAGTGACCCTTTTTTTCAGCTCCCTACGTTACCATGATACCTTGCACAAAACAATGCGCGAAGTAAAGCAGTGCGCGAACTACCTACTTTGCGCATTGTTTGTAAAATATATGAGATATTTATATTTCAACGAAATCGTTTATTTCTGAATGTTTAACAATAACCTTGTTTTATCTCTTGGAGCGCACGAAAGGAAATTCCTATTATGTTCTTGGAACATCGTGCGTACATAGGGAGAATAGGGGGAGGCCTTTCAAACCAGATCAACACTATTTTTTTCATCAAGCTAAGCATATTTTTACTTCAGAACTATATGTTTTTACGTTTGTAGAAAAAATATTGTTTGCAACTCGAGCGTGAAATACTTTGGTTATCTCGACTATTTTTTTAACTCGGCTACTCCTCGTTAAAAAAATCAGATCCCGATCACCAAAGTAGCATTTCGCGCTCTAGATACAAAATAACTAATGTTGATAAGATGTTGAGTTGAAGATGAAAGATATAATATATTCGAGATTCAGCTTAGATGGTAAAAAGGATAATTATAGTTCATTATTAGTCAAAACGGCTCACATATCTCTATAGAATAAAAAAACCTATCAGAATCTGTGAAAAAATTATCAGGATCGTATTTAAAAAACAAAAGTTGATGATGGTTCCACGAATATACGAAACGTCGCATGAAAAAATCGGTATCACCACGTTGACCGCCATCAAAAGTTGCTATGAAAAAGTATTCTCAGTTTTGCTGTATCTCTAATAATAACGGAGAAAAAAAATAAAATAGAAATTCCAAGAATTCACTTTTTTCGATATAACTCAAAAACTAAAGATAATTTTCAAAATTTTCGAAGGCTCTTGATATGAGCCTCCGAATGCGCAACTTTTTCCCCATTCAACCGATTTCGTATCTCTTACCGTTTTCGAGATCCCCATGCTGTTCAACCTTATCTTGGACAGACTGTATATCTATACGACATTCCATTTGAAGAAATGGCCCCCAGCTCTGTTTTTTTTTGTTGCAACCTGTATATGCGGCAATAATCTCTTGTTAAAGACCCCGTTATTGTTTCATTTCCCATTCTTTTGCCTTACTGGCCTCTCCCTGTATATTCTCTTGAATAATATTACACCCACAATTTTCAACACCCCATATAGTTTGGATGGCAGTATTTACGTTCATTTGACAACGGAATACCATTTATGAAGAGATATGTAGATCTATCTTACTTCGTTTCCCAATTGGAATCGGTAGCAATCACTTTCCATTTGCCATTTTCATACTTTTCCACAGTGAGGAAGGTTGATTCATGCAGCAGATTATTTCGAGGATGCCCAGATATCTGAAAAAGAGAGTATAGATACAGTTTTATCATGAACTCCATTCTTTTTCTACAATTCCTATAAATGTTTTTTTATTGGTACCCTACTATGCTCATTCAAATACAGCCCCCTTAAAGGCACAAGAAATAAACTTTTTATGCCGAATGCGGTGAATATACATGGTGGGCCACCAGTAACGCCTCGGTCTCTAGAAGGCTAACCACTCATCTTCTTGGAATTATTCCTCTCTAGGAAGTTGCATGTCAACATAGGCTACCATTTGAAATTATTTTGAAACATACAGGATGTCCCCAAAAATCACAAAACACTGGAGTTGAACTTTTTTCGATCGAACACCCTATATATTATTTCATTTTGAGATTCTCCCTGGTGAGCTGAGTTCAACAATCCATCATACTTGGGGTCTAGCAGTTATAATTACTGAGATATAGGGTATGAGAAATCGAGATATTCCAAGTTCAAGAATTTTTTGTGTCTAAACCATTCATAATTGGTCAAAACGGCTCACATGTCCCTATCTCAACTTTTGATCAACTATCTACTGACATTTAATTGAAACAAATACAGGGTGGTGCAGAATTCAGAATCTTGATCACCCGGTATATGTCCCAATTAAATATCAGTAGATAGCTAATCAAGAGTTGAGATAGGGACATGTAAGCCGTTTCGACCAATTATGAATAGTTTCGACACAAAAAATTCTTGAACTTGGAAAATCTCGATTTTTCACACCCTATATTTCAGTGATTATAACTGCTAGACCCCAAGTATGATGAGTCGTTGAAATCAGCTCATCAGGGAGAATCTCAAAATGAAATAATATATAGGGTGTTCGATAGAAAAAAGTTTAACTTCAGTGTTTTATGGTTTTTGGGGACACCCTGTATGTTGACATGCAACTTCCTAGAGAGGAAGAATTCCAAGAAGATAAGTGGTTAGCCTTCTAGAGACCGAGGCGTTACTGGTGGCCCACCCTGTATAATCATTTCAGAGTTTCATTCAGGAATGTATAATACAGGGTGAAACTACATTGAATATTGCTCCAACTTTTCCGTGTGCATAGTTTTTGACAATTAAATCTCTGATTATGAAAATCCACACCATTTTTCGAAAAAAGTGCTCCTGTTTCGCATCGTTCAGATGTATCATTCTCGAGTGAAATCGATTTAAAAATATTGAAGCACTGACATCTTATGCATAACGTTGCCAATTTTCAAATCATAGTGGCTATTGAAAAAGCAAGTACTTTCTTTTCACCAAAGAATCTCATGAAGACGCGAAAAATAATAAACAATATTTTTATAGTATAGTATGTAGCAAGTGTTATAAACGTCCTTTTAGTAACGAGTAGTTTAAGCACGAGCGGAGCAGAGCGGAGCAGAGCGGAGCAGAGCGGAGCAGAGCGGAGCGAGTGTAATGAACGAGTGTCTAGAAGAGTTTATAAACGCGTTACATACTATGATTTTTCTACGAACTCCGAAAATTACATTAACATACCTGCAATTCCTGCTAACCTACAAAATAATTCGAAAGGAATGGGAATTGTGAACATAATACATAAAACTGCATGCAACCAGCGAGACACGTATGAGTGATTGGTTGTAGATGTGTCCAGTCCATTGCCACCGAACATCAACTAAAGATCCATTGCTTACTAACCTTTGTTTCATCACGTTTATTGTCATGCTTAGCGCAGAATAAATAAATTGTTCTCAAAGATGGATGCTTCATTTTTACACTTCTTGGAGATATGCAAGTACCAGAACATTCTCTTCGATTTCACTCTCGTCTACTTTTCGCATATACTTTTAATGAAGAATTCTGATACAAACGAATATTGTTTGAATAATCCTGATACAAAATTCGAAAATAACAGTTGACAGTTAATACTACAGTTAATATCTTGAGCACTTTATGGCATGTACTTAGTGGCACACCAGATTGTAAAGATAATCTCTTCAATGACGTTTGGGGAATTTGCTCAACACGAGCCCTCAGATTTTCGACAACATCTTCCGATATTTGGGGCCTTCCTGTTGATTTCTTTTCATTAACGTTTCCAGTTTGGATGAATCTGTTGATCACTGTTCTGATGTGGGCTTTCAAAGAAGACTCTTGAATCTGTACATTAGGATATTTCGCCAGGTACTCATCCTTGCAGGCTACTACCGAGTAACTCCATCCAACATTGATGAATGTGCCATTTCGACGATAAGACATTATAATAAATGTATTCTGCTCCGAGGAATGAGGCAACCCCTTTTTTCAACACAACAATCACGAAGTAGAGAACAGAATCGTATGAAAATTTTTACGAAAAACTGACTTTTGTGAGTTTTTCGCAGCTATGACAGTATAATGATTGATGTCAGAAATGAAATGCGGCAAATTGAGAAAATATTGCAACAGCTATTACGATGTTACGATCAATCATAGAAACGCTGTATATTTGACAAAATAAAATGAAGAAGACAGTAAAATGAGACTCACACTCAAGAAAAATGTTTTTTTTAGTTCAACTGAAAATGATTGTCAATTGACTCAGCTGTCAGGTACCCAATAGAAAACTATTCGCGAAAATCACGAAGTGTGCGGCATCTGGTGGCTAACTTCACAAGTCTTGCGAGTATAAACAACAAATATGGCGACCATTGTTTTGAGTTTCTGTGTTTTATTTGAAAATAATTTATTTGTTGAAGTGCATATTCCAGAACCTCATTTTTCCCTGATGAAAAAACTCGAAGTATTGCATGAACTTTTATTGTTTACAATGAAGAAGCCAGTACCTACCTTATAATAATATAATATACATTTTCTGAAGCACAGTTAGAATCCTTGTATAAATGATGGTTGCAATGATTGGATCTTGAGAATAACTCCAAGTCTTCAATTGCTGGAGATCCTTGTTTATGTAAATCGATGATATTGTTCATTCTGACCAGCTTTTCCAACCATATCTTCTTTTCCCAGCCCCTTCACTAGAATTACATCTCCTTCATAAAAGCCAGTGATATTTCTTGATGAATTCAATTATTTCTTCATACCTATACCATATTGTTGTAATAGCTGATTGCTTACATGGCTCCATTCCCGTCCATGCAACTGTTGAGTGGACCATTCCGACCATTCCATATGTTTGGAAACTGTGGAATTGTAGTGTGATATCAATGATGAATACCACCATTGTCCACATCGAAATGGCAATTTCTCTGCACAAAAAGTAATTTTTTCCATACTGGAAACCTTGTACGTATTTCACGAAGTCAACTCATTATTCACTATTTTGCAAAATGATTTCGAAATAACCAATTTGCAATGAGTGCATACGGCAATGTTTTTGTTGTTCATACTCAGTTTGAAATTTGACGTTGATTTGACGTTAAATAGAGCCATCTATTGGTTCGTGATTTTCGCGAATAGTAAATGTAGGTACAAGGAAACTATAACAATATAACAGGAGTAGATGTTCCTATTATATTCAGCTTCAAGTTATTTGGTAGTGAATTGTATAGTATCATTTCATTGTGATAGATGGTTTTTTTTACCAATATCTGATTTAATTTTTTTGAAAGAAAAATGATCTGCTTGTCTAGTTGTATGGTTGTGATGAATACTATTGACTTGAAAAACCGAATTTGAATGCTTTCGACAATGTTCAACTGAATGAATGAACGACATCAATTTGAACAGCAAAAATATCGGTAGACTAGTAGACACTTTTCAGGACCACCATGTATATAGCTTCAACTCTTGATGAACAAGTAGAATATGATTCCGATGGAAAAGAAATCAATTAAGTATCGCCATTAGAATCTACCAACAATCTTTTTGCTCTCACTCTCGAGTGATTCTGTCTTATCTTTTGAATCGAAAAAGCTGGCGCTGGTTTTTATCTCGGTCGAAATCCAGCAGAACGCAAGAACATTCTTACTTTTCTACTCGACAAATCCAGATCATTTTGTCTTTGTAGTCATATCACATTTGTCTTTGTGACAAAGCAGATTCAGTTTTTGCATGTCTGCTTTGTGAAAGATGTAGGCGTAAAAAGTAATTACATTTTTCATCGAGGCTTAGCATGATTTCTCTTTCATTTTCCCTTGGGTCCAATTTCAATTTCAACATAACATGAAGCATTCGACATGATTCGACAGATGTGTTACTAGGTAATCAATTTGCTAATACAGTGAAGATTTAACCCTTACACTCCCGAGAATAATTTGGAAAGTACAGCCGGAGTTTTTCTAGCAGGTGTGACTCAGAGTAACCTCAGAAACTTCCTGAATTTTCTTCGAATTTCTTCAGGATGATGTGATATTATTTTTCGTCGACCTCGTATTAACGAGTAAGTTTAATGTTCATGAAATCGTTCATTAATGACCCCTATTTATGATCAATTTGTCTATTGATGCACGATTGTTTCATAGGCAACCAAACATATAACGCGTACATTCATTGTTTATGCTATAACTTACGGAATCTGCATTTCATCGAAGATTTTTCGTTAACGGGTTCGCCTTTCTAAGTTTCTGACACGATTTTAATCCCTGTTTTCTGACACAAGGAATTTATTTTCTATGTTGATCATTTCGACAAATGTCAAATGTCACTAATGTCAGTAACAAGGCTACTGGGTGATTCTACGCAGGTTCCGGAATGGATGATGAATTCGCGAACCAAGTTTTCTTCATCGCAGGAGAAACGAGAAATATAGTCGACGGAAAAATTGTGTAACCAACTTGTATTTTGAAAGGCGATTAATGATCTCGAACATTAACGCGCTTGCTTCGCTCGCACGTTAAAATATCTCGATCATTAATTGCCCTCATTAATACACTCTTAAATAACTATTTCAGGGCCCTCACAATCGTGTTATTTGGGAGTGATATGGGATGAAAGAAATCGCTAATCATGGAGAAATATGCATTTATTGTTTATGGTTCGTTATGAAAAGTGACGAAACAAATACTTCCATTGTTCAAACACAGACATATGCGTATAT